TAACCAACAACAACAACATACAAAGGTACTCAGCAACAACTATAACAGCCACCCAACTTATTTGCTCAAGAGGACATTGCTCAGATGGCCTGACTGCACAGTGGTAAACTGCTTGGCTGCTAACTTAAATTACTTACTGCTGAAGACCACAGACCACAGCCTTTGGTATACCTCAACATTAAGAAAACAAAAATCCTCACCACTGGACCAATAAATAACATCATGATAAATGGAGAAAAGATTGAAGTTGTCCAAGACTTCACCACTCATGGAAGCAGCAGTCAAGAAACCAAATAACATATTGCGTGAGGCAAATGTGCTGCACAAGACCTCTTTAAAGTGTTCACGAGCAAAGACATCCATTTGAGGACTAAGGTGCGCTTGACCCAAGCCATGGTGTTTTCAATGGCCTAACATGCATGTGAAAGTTGGACAATGAATAAGGAAAACAGTAGAAAAATTCATGCATTTGAGTCACGGTGTTGGAGAATATTAAAGGTACCACGGACTGCCAGAAGTCCAAGCAAATTTGTGCTGGAAGTAAAGTACAACCAGAGTGCTCCTTGGAAGTCAGGATAGGTGAGATTCATCTCTCATCCCTCAGAGATATTATCAGGAGAAGGTCATCATGGTTGGTAAAGTGGAGGAACAGAGAAAAAGAGGAAGACTCCCAAAGCTGATTAGCACAGCAGCAAACAACAGGCTGAAGCAGTAACTGTGAGGACGGCACCGGACTGGGTGGTGTTTCAGTCTGTTGTACACAAGGTCGCTGTGGGTCGGAACCAACTTGACAGCACTCAACAACCAGCTTACTGAAAAGGCTGATGCTTTGAACCCACCAGCTGCTTTGCAGGAGAAAGATGCGGCAGTGACTTCCATAAAGAGTAGTGGCAGTTATGAGCCACCAAGTAGATTCTAACTCATGGCGACTCTCCATAGGATTTCTGCAGCTGTAAATCTTTATGGAAGCGGAAAGACTCATTCTCCCACAAAGCGACTGGGAGATTCGAACTGCTGACCGTGCAGTTAGAAGCCCAGCCTGTAATGCAGTACACTACCAGAGCTCCTTTCCATAAAGATTGTTGTTGGTAAGTGCCATTGAATCAGTTCTAACTCATCGCGACCCTGTATGAAGTTTCCAAGGAGCGTCTAGTGAGTTTGAAGCGCCGACCTCGCAGTTCACGGCCTAGGAAACCCTATGGGGCAGTCCTCCTCTGTCCTGTGGGGTCACTATGAGCCGGAATTGGAATCGTCTCAACAGCAATGGGTTTTGTTTTGTTTTTTTGCTCCTTGTCAGGACTTGGGAGACTTCTAAGACTACTTCCTTGGAAAAAGCCATCTTCCACAGAGAAGGCATTGGTTTTATCAAAACTAAAAGGACATGTGGTTCATAGATAACAAATCCAAAATAACGGCCATGTGTCCTCATGAGGTGATGAAAATGCTCTGGAACTAAATGGTGACGGAACACAACATCCTGAAAATACTATACATAACTGAACTGTGTACTTTAAAATGGCTAAAATACCACCTTTAGGTTAAGTGCATTTCAGCAGGTGGCCACCAGCAAGCATACTGCTTACCGGTTCCCTTTAACTTTCTGGCCTATCAGGGGGGTTTTCTCTGATGAGCCAACTTTCCTTACCTTGTTGAGTGTGGTCGCGTTGGTTCTGACTCATAGCGACCCTGTCTAGGGTTTCCAAGGAGCAGTTGGTGAATTTGAACTGCCGACCTTGCAGTTTAAACGGAGCTTGTGTTACCCCGGAGCAGGACCCTGAAACTCAAAATTCAAGCTGTTTGCATTTTTGCTCTCTGCCTGAATCTCCTGTTCTCCCGGCAGCTCTGGGTTGGACTGCGTGTCCTTTCAAATCCAAGTGGGCCAGCTCTGAAGGTTGGGGTCGGGGGGAGCTCAGGATTCACCTCCGCCCCAGAGTCTACAGAGCCTTAAACCAAGAAGCCTGTTTTTCCCAGGTAAATTCTAACTCCCTTCTAGCAGCTTTACAAACTCTCTGCAATCACAACTCCCCACATTCCTATCACACCTGGACAACTATTTTACAATAGTAGGCAAGAGAAGCCACTATCCCAAAGGCAGACAAACACCTGTCCACCTTCGAAAACACTCGAGCAGTTCCTTGGACTGTTTCTGCAGTAGCTGGGTTCCGGCAGGCAGGGATCCAGCGGGCCCAGGCCCCCGGGCGGAGCTGTTGGGGGTTCAAATTCACCAGCTGCACCTCGGAAAGCCGTAAAGAGGCGCTAGGAGTCGGGACTGAGTCCCCTGCCCTTAACAACAGGCCCAGTACCAGGCAGCCTTCCGAGCGAGCGCGTCACCAGCTCTCTGCTGAAACACTGGCTCCCACGCCCCTTGGTTCTTTCTCCCACAAAACTCCCGTTTCCATAGGTCTGGCGCCATGAGCGCCAATGGCGTAGACCTAGTGGCACCGTGTCTGACGTCCTCTGACTCCAAACCGCACGGGGATCCCACTCAACAGCAGCCCAAGACCGAGTCCCACAGAGGGGACGTCAGACTTGGCACCTAATCTAGAAAGCTCATCCTTGCGATTCTGCAGATTCCCAGTCCCTCCTGCAGGGCCCACTGGCCAGTCACGCGGTGCAGTCAGTCCTCCAAGTCAGTGGACACACGTGGACACACACAGGCTTCAGTCACACCTCAGACTGCACAACACCGCCTCCCGGCCCCGGTACACAGGTACCCACTTCCTCTTTTCAGTCACACAGGAACTAAGTCACAATCGTACATTAATACTGGTTCGCGCGTCTCCCAGGAACCCGGCAAGTCACCGCCGCCAGCATCCGGCTCTTCAAAACCCGGACGGAAGCGTATAAGCCTGGACATTAGACGCTTCCGGAAGTGCGGAGATGCGCTCCCGCCGCAATGACTCTGGGAAATGTAGTTTCAGTGAAGAGCGGAGGCCGCTTTGGGAATTTGAGCCTCAAGCGTTTCAGAAAGGTTCCTCTCCAAACCTGGACGTTGCTGCCCTCTGCTGGATATCGTTGCCTCCTGGTCTTCCTGGTCTGAAAGCGGGTCATCCAGCCTGGAGACTGAATACCAACAGTCCAAGCCGGCAGGGATGAGGTGAGCAGAGTCCAGGAACTTCTGCCACATAGGAGATGCCTTGCGCAGGCGTTAAGCGCTCCAAACCCAGTGACATCTATTCCAACTCACAGTTGCGAGAAATGTTGTCTGTACTGACAAACGCTCGTATGTAATCCAATCTGTACTCATTTTAGCGAGAGTGAGGTTTTCTTTATTCGATTTTGCAAAATCGGGCGCCCTGCCTCCTAGACAAGGGCAGACGCACCGCATGGCCATTTGACAATGAGTTTTATTAACCTAACTCGGGAAAAGCCCCTCCTCCTTCCCCTTTACTAAGTTCTTCGGAGTTTACAATCTTTCCCGGATGGAGTCTACTAGTCCCTACAGGAAGCATTCTCACTTAAAGTTGGTTTACCTCCTCCCCATGAACCTCCCCCAGTTCCTTGATGAGTGAATTCTTATTTTTAAAGACTCTAGTAAATCAAACTAGTCTCTTCCTCTTCTCATAGTTCCTGTTGTCATGGCAACCTGCTACCCCTAAGATATCCTTGAATCTGAAGATGGATCACCCCAGCAGCTATTTCTCACACTAAGACAAAAAAGAAGGAAAAAACCCAAAATACCAGGCATAGAATTGCTGACAGACTGTGGTGGTTGACCTTTATGAGATAATGCTAAATGTACCAATTTGAATTCTCAGAAGTATGTTTTTTTGAAGCGTTTCAGTTGACCGCATCCTTTCCATCAGCTACTACTGTCTATTAATTTTTTTATCGATGTTTTTAAATGCTGTTGAGTCAATTCTGACTCATAGTGATCCTGAATAGCGTTTGCAAGTAATGGCTGGTGGGTGTGAACTGTGTTCAGTAGTTTAGTGGCGATCCTACAGTGCAACATCAGGATTCCTTCATCTCTGTTGCTAATGCCATTGAGTTGGTTCCTCATAGCGACACTGTATAGGGTTTCTGAGGCTGTAAATCTTTGTGGGAACAGAAAACCTTTTTCCTAAGATGCGGTTGAAAGTCCATTGCATAGTCCATGCTGCCACTGCACTCCCCCTTTATCTACGTATTAGATGTAAAACAGTATCTCACTGTCTAGACTTCTATTTCTTTAATTATGAATAAAGTTGAACTTTTCTTAATGTGAAAAAAAATTTTTTTAAGTAATTGAAAAGACCTGACTCTCATTGGTCTGATAGATCGGTAGAACCTCCTAGACACCCTTTGACACCCTTCAAGCCTGGAACTGAATCTGCACAGGAAAAGGTAAAAATCATTCACTGCCCTCTGCCGCCCAGTTGTTGTTAAGTGCTGTCGAGTCCGTTCTGATCTATATTGACCCTGTATAGGGTTTCTGAGGAGCAGCCAGTAAGCTTGAACCGCCGACCTTGCAGTTCAAAGAGGCAAGCTAAAATGCTGATCAGGTCACCAAATGGGACCAATCCCCCTGGTTTTCCCTCTGCCCTCAAACAGGTTTGCAGCCTGGCCCCTCCCTGACTCTGACCCCATCTAGGCCCATATTGTCCTCCATTCCGGACTCAGAATCTGGAAGAATTAGCTCCTCTGAATCAGCTGGCTTAATAAAATCTGAAACTCTGCTTCACCTCTCCGAGTGGCCTCGGTTTCTTCCACCACGAATCTAAAACTGCTGAAACAAGCCCACCCCCAGGGACCAACTTTTGGTCAAGTGTTGGGGGCCAAAAGGCTTACAGGCCTCGTAAAACTTTAAGTCTGGGTCTAACCAGACAAAGTCGGCTTATCAACACAGGGGAAGTGGCCTTCCCAGGATCACGTGATTCACAGTAAACGATAAACATGCAGGGAAGGTAGCTTCCCCAGGATCGCGTGGTTCATAGCAAAAGATAAACTTGTAACTATGCAAAACAGCAATGACTTGCAGAACCACCCTATATAAACTCGGAGATTGGAAATAAACTTCGTCACTCGCCATCAGCTTGGGTCCTGTCCTCAGTTCTTTCCTTTTGTACGTATTTTTCTTCATCCACGCCCGCCCCTCCGTCGGGTACCTGCGAGACGGCTGGAGCCGGACTCCGACAGTCAAGCAACACACAGGTCTATAAAGGAAGTAACATCAGGGAGAACTGTAGTCCTCAGTCTTCACTCATCAACAAAGCTCAGAAGGCAGGAAAGGACAAGACTCATGGAAATGGGGAACCCGAGGAGGAAGGGGAGAGTGTTGTTACCCCAAAGGTAATGAAACCAACTTCACAAAACATGTATAAGTAGTTGAGTTGAAAACGCATTCTCTTAGTAAAATTTCATCCAAAACATAAAGACTTCTTGACTGTGTGGTGACCGGGAGACAAGACGGGGCCAGAGGGCATATTACGGAATTGTTTGTTGCGTGCTATTGTTGTTGTTGTTAAGTGCCATCGAGTCAGCTCCGACCCATAGAGACCCTGTACAGGGTTTCCAAGGGTGTAAATCCTTACAGGAGTAGAAAGCCTCATCTTTCTCCCACAGAGCGGCTGGTAGTTTCGAACCGCTGACCTTAAGGTTTGCAGCCCGATTCATAACCACTAAGCTACCAGAGCTCCTGCTCGTCGTGTGCTATTGAGTTCCTTCTTATTCATCATGTCTCCACAGGACACAGCAGAACTGTCCCAAGCATGGCCTCCTGAGAAGTGGCTGGCAGGTTCCCAGCTCCAACTTTTGGATTGACAGGTGGGTGCTTAACCACGGCATTGCCAGGGCTCCTTAGATTATGGTGCTGGTGGTGGTTGTGTGCTGTGGTATCAGTTCCAACTCATAGCGACCCTATATAGGGTTTCCAAGGAACAGCTGGTGGGCTTGAACCACTGACCTTGTGTGTAACAGTCCAGTGTTTATCCTACAGCACCACACCAGTTTATAGTTTATGGTTGTTGCAGCTAGGTTCTGTGGAATCAGGTCTGACTCACAGCGACCCTGTGTAGGGTTTGTGAGGACCGGCTAATGAGCTTGAACCACTGACCTTATGGTTCAAACTGATTTTGCAGTCCGGTGCATTAAGCCACAGCGCCACACCAGGACTCCATTATGGACACGCTGGCTCATACAGCTGAATACTGACCCTGTTCCCACATCCGTATCTCTAATCCAATGAGAAATGAAACATCTGACTGGCTGAACTGGGGCCAGCTGACTGACCCTGGCAAGTTCACCACAGCAATGCAGAATAAAAACCAGGAGCTAGGTGCACCTGTTAAGGACAAAACCAGATTTCAACATATGTACTGAATACACGGATATGAAATATTCTGTGGGAGAAAGGTGAGGATTTCTGTTCCCACAGCCTTGGAAATCCTATATGGAGTCACCGTGCGTTGGAACGAACTCGAAGGCATTTAACAATTGTTAATATTAATGGTCTCTTCAACTATCAGGTCAATTAAACATCATGTTTCACAAATTGCATATTTTGTATACTATATGGTGGCCAATTCTTCATGGAATTGGACAATGTAACCTCTTTCTCTTCACTGCCCGGTACATAACATTCAGTAAACACAACATTCAGTAAACAAGTTTGATCGAGCTGCTCGACATGACACCGAAGCCCTATTTGCTGCTATGAAAACAATTCGCAGTAAGTATTATTTACACCCATTTATTTCAGTGGGATAAAGTCCTACATTTATATTTACTGGTTCCAGAGAAATGCATATTTATGTTAACAGGCCATACCATATTGTTATTCCAAAAACACAGGAGACAAATTTATACTAAGGAACAGTTTTCCCGGGTGAGAACTAAGAAAATGAGTTTTAATTTGCATTCTCCTGATTAGTAGGGTTAAGAACGCCACAGATTTCCTTGATATTCGAATTCCTCAATTGTGCAATGCTTGTTGGTACAAATTAATTTCCCCCTCCTTCATGTCTAGTAGCGCCTTATTTCTGACGTACGTTTTTACATTTTGTTAATTGTATTTTAATTCTTTTTCTTGGCTTTCACTAATGTAGACGTTCGAGGCTTTACGCAGGCCAACTTACTCTCTTCCTTTAAGGAGTTTTGAGATTTCATGTCCTGCTTGATAAAGCCTTTCTCTTTTCTAGGTTTGCCCCTAGCATGTACTTACTACTTCATAGAGATGTAAATGAAATTGTATGGCCAAGCTCTGCCATGTCTGTAGGACGCATCTATATTTTTTTAAATGCTGTCTTCCAATACCAACAGATCAGTTTTATCATATTCCAAACTCTCACATGCAAAGAAACATATTTCAAGTCTCCTGTTCTTCTTTCATTCCTCGTGTATTTTCAGATAAAATGGTCAGGGTAAACCTATCCTACTGGGTTTGTTTGGTATTACAATTTACAAACGTTTTAATAGCACCAAATCTTTCACCTGGAAAGAAAGACATAGTTCTCCTTTGAGATACATACCCCTTTTATCCACAGTGGATACGTCCCAAGACCATCTGTGGATGCCTGAAACTGGACAGTACCAAACTGAGCATATACTACGTTTCTTCCTGTACACACACGAGTACCCGGGGTGGACCAGGAGGGCAGCTTTTAACCCGTCAGTTGCCGACAGGGTAGAGCGGAGTGTCACACCCAACTGTGTTTTCCAGACTGTGCCCAGCGGAGGAGAAGGAAGCCGGCTCTGGGATGGCGCTGGATGGCACATTTTGTCACGGACTCAGAACTGCACACCCAGCTTTTCTATTTCCAGACGGCAGTTATCCACAGTAACGGAAACCTCAGATAAGAGGGACCACTGTTTTCTCTTTTCCTTTATTAGTTATAATTTCCGTTCACCTAGATTCATCAATAAATTGCTTGACAGTTTGCTCTCATTTTATATGTCAGAGTTAAATACTTTCATTGGAAGAACTGTTGTTAAATGCTGTTAAGTCGATTCCAACTCATAACAACCCTACATAGGGTTTCCAAGCAACAGCTGGTGGGTTTGAACTGCCGACCTTGTGGTTCGCAGTCCAGTGCTGATCCATTTAGAACTTGAATATTTTTCTCTGCTCTAAAACAATGGCCAACAATTTTCTTCTGTAAAAGTGAAGACATTTCAGGATTTGTAGACCCTATGGGCTCTGATGCCACTGCTCAATTTCGACATCTATGTGTAAGCAAATGAACATAGCTGTGGTTCTAATAAAACTTTATTTATACAAACAGGCAGCAGCTAGATAGGGCCTATAGTATGTGGTTTGCTAACCTCTGCTCTAGATTGGCAAACCGATTCCATAAGGGCCAGATGTATATATTTTTGGCTTTAGGGGCCATATAATCTCCATCACAACTCCTTAACTCTGAAAGCAGACACAGACAGTATATAACCAAATGAGTGTGGCTACATTCCAATAACACTTTATTTAGGAACACTAAACTGTAAAGCTCTTAATTTTCATGCTGTCATACTCTTCATTTTTATTAACCATTTAAAAATGCAAAAGATATTCTTACTTCATGGGCCATGCAAACACCAACCAATCAGTTCCTGTCAAGTCATTTCCAACTCACGGTGCACCCTCGTATGTCCGAGGAGGCCTGTGTCCCATGGGCCATGCAAACACCAACCAATCAGTTCCTGTCAAGTCATTTCCAACTCACGGTGCGCCCTCGTATGTCCGAGGAGGCCTGTGTCCCACAAGGTGTTCAGTGACTGCTTATTCTACAGCACACGGCCAGGCATTCCGTCCGGCAGCCTCTGGGTGGGCTTTTAACTACCAGCCTTTCAGTTATCAGCTGAGCACAGTGTCAGCCCACCATCAGCACTACCGCACAGAGAGCAAGGGTGAATTCATTCCCTGACCAACAGGTCACATCACCTCAAATTAATGAAGATTGAAAACCACAATACTAAACCAACATCATGAAAGCAAGCTTCCAACCCAGAGGCTAGCCCTCACTAATCCACCTCAGAACTCTTGTTCTATATAGCCTGTGTTCTTCTAGCTTGTTCTAGGAATCATTTTAACTCAAAGTGAAAGACGGTTAACTCTTCTCTGTCCAAAAATAATGTTTCTAAAAGACTTAACATTATTGAATACCTAGCATGGCCCAGATATTAGCACACTGTATGCATTAACCAATGATCTCAACACGACTTTTACATGTGCCAAAGTATTACCCCCAAATCACTTTGATCACAAAGTGGAGAACAAGCTGGAAAGAGAGAAAAACAAAGAAAAAAGAGCCGCCGTCAGTTTTCATACTATCAGCGTTGTCTAGGTGAACTAGTGGCTGGCCTGAGGTTATGGTGGCGATAGTGACGCTGGATTCCAGAGAAATTTGGGAAAGAGATCCACAGGACTTGACGAGTGAGGGAAAGCGGGGCGCGTTGGTGGCTCTCCAGCATGGATTGTCTGATGATGAGTACAAGGCGCAGTCTGCCTAAAGGCTCTCTTACTTCTCTTACAGTGAGAGGCTCTCTCGCCCGTATGAACCCTTTTGTGTTGGTTCAGGTGTCCGATTTGGATAAAGGTTTTCCTACATTCCGGGCACTCGTACGGCTTCTTTCCAGAGTGAATTCTCTGATGGACACTTAGGGACTGTCGATGGCTGAAGGCCTTTCCACACACACCGCATGCGTACGGTTTCTCTCCAGTGTGACTTCTGCGATGACAAATCAGGGAGGACTTGGTCTTGAATGCCTTCCCACACTCAATGCATTCATAAGGTCTCTGACCAGTGTGAAGCCTTTGATGCTGCGTACAGGATGAATTGTCCCCAAAGGCCTTGCCACATTCGATGCATTTATAGGGCTTCTCTCCAGTATGAACCCTCTGGTGCTGGATAAGGTGTGTGGTCTGGCTGAAGGCTTTGCCACACTCCTTACACTCATAGGGTCTCTCTCCTGTGTGAGTTTTCTGGTGCTGGGCCAGGTGAGCCTTCTGGGTGAAGGCTTTACTACACACCTGGCATCCGTAGGGCTTCTCTCCGGTGTGAATCCTTTGGTGAGTGGCTAGCTGTGAGCTGATGCTGAAAGATTTTCCACAGTCTCCACATTCAAAGGGCTTCTCTCCAGTGTGAATCCGCAAATGGCTAGCCAGGTGGATGTTCTGCCTAAAAGCTTTCCCACACTCTTTACACTTGAAAGGCTTTTCTCCAGAGTGCACTCTTTGGTGTTGCGTGAGGGACGCATGATGGCTGAAGGCTTTCCTACAAACATCACACTCATAGGGTTTTTCTCCAGTGTGGATTCTCTGATGCACAGTAAGGGACGAGCCATACCGGAAGGCCTTGTCACACACGTCGCATTTGTAAGGTTTTTCTCCAGTGTGAATCCTTCTATGCTGACTAAGCCCTATGTGATCACTGAAGGCTTTCCCACAATCGATGCAGTCAAAGGGTTTCTCCCCGGTATGATAATACCTCCAGTGGCGGATAAGGGACGTGTTCTGGATGAAAGCTTTTCCACACTCAATGCACTCATAGGGCTTCTTGCCAGTGTGACACCTCTGGTGTCGGGCAAAGGATGAGCCATCACTGAAGGCTTTCCCACATTCACTACACTTGTAGGGCTTCTCTCCAGTATGGATTCTCTGGTGAACTGTGAGGGATGAACTCTGGGTGAATGTTTTCTTGCATTCATTACATTTGAAAAGTTTTTTTTCTGCATAGATTCCTGCGTGCTTTACTGAGTTTGAGGGGAGATCTCTCTTAACCAGATTAAGATTACGAACTCTCTCTTCTGCATCATTCATGTGGAACCAGCTTCCCGATCTGGTGTCCCCCCGGTCTCTCTCCTTACAGGGGGTTTTGTTGTGAGTGATCATCTCTTGCCTGAACTGCGCTTCCTGACCTACAAGCTTCCTTTCAAAGAGGCTGCCAAGATTCCACTTTTCTCTGAAAATCGAACCCTCAAAGTTCGTGTCTGAAATCCTGTCTGCTGCCATTTCATCAGATGTGTCCTGCTTTGAAAAGAACTCCTGGGTCTCATGTACAGATCGCTGGCCTGAAAGATAAAGAAAGTATTTCCTTTTTTCATGTGCTAGAACGAAGGAATCAGCTAACAAAAAAAGCTGATGACTCAAAATTCTAATGAAAACCACACACACAATACAGCTGTAAAAGCTATAACTAGACGTGCCACGTACAATGTAAGAGGACCCCAGACTGTGACGATTCATACAAAAACCTGTAGCTGTCACTGCAGAGAAAGGACACAGAAGCAAAGAATATAGTTTTGGAAGCCCAGATTAAGAGATTACAAATTTCCCTCCACACCTGGAGGATCTGGTAAGATATGTCTACTGTACTCATTAGTGAGGATTCAGTCTCCGAAAAAAGTTTAGCTCTAATGGGGGAGTAGTTAATCTTATAATCCAGAAACAGAGGACCCGAGGACCATCAAGAGAGAAGAGCACAAGCGGAGTGCGGGACACTGACCAGAGAAGCAGCGACACCAGAGACGGAGGCAGAGACGTGGACATGGAGAGATGGAGCAGCTGAGGACTCCAGACTCATAGAAAGAGAGGGACTGAGTGCTGGCGGCCAGGAGGCAGGCTTGCACACTGTGCCCTTTGGTTGTTGAAATTATATTACTGTTTACATTCCTGAGTGTTTCTGTGTACATCTGCCCACTCCTCCCCACCCCCCAAAAAACCCAGAGGGATTGGAAGCATATACTATTGAATGATGATACGCTGAGGGGATTATAATCACTGCAATGATACAACAGTGAAAAGCCGATGTTCTCCCATGTAAAGTGCCACTCAGGTCACAATTAAAAACAACATTGGGCTCAAATCAGTGCAGCATTTCCACAGATGTCCCGAGGACTCACCCAAGAACAGGCCTCCCGTCCGCTCGCTCTTCACCACCCGCAGGGCCGTTCGTCGTGCCAACAAGACCGAATCCGACTGACAAGCATTACGGCCTGTATGTGAACGGAGATGGCATTTGGTCACGGTATCAACCTTCCAAATGTAACAAAAGTAACCAGGGTCAGTTGCTGTGGAGCCCACTCTAGCTCCTGATAGCCCGTAGGGTCTGAGTGGAGCTGTACTCTGTAGAGGTGTACTCAGAGTAGAGTTGGACATGGCTAATTTTCCAGAAGTAGCTATTCAGGCCTTTCTTCTGAAGTGCAGACAGGGTGGACTCGACCCTCCAATCTTTGGGTTAGCAACTGAACGAACGTGTTAACGTCTGCACTATCTAGGGACTCCATAACTGAGTTACCAACTTTCGACTCTACAAATGTCAGACTATTATCCTGAAATTCGAGAACACAAATTAAGCCTAGCACTTTAGAAGACATCCATCTCTTGCCTCCTCCATCACTCACAGCAAAAATTGAGCCAGAACAACGGGACACCCCGAAGGAATCTTCAGATTTACGAGTGGCCACATCCTTACCTATTGATCCCAGGTCACCGTGGTTCTCCTGCATCCAATGCTTACAGAATCTCCTCTGCTGGGCGAAGTCTACAGCCACATTCCTGACAGTCAACAGGCCCTGAAACAGTACAAATATAACTGTGATCACACCACGCTCATGAACCCACGTGGCTCCAAGGCGATGGGCTACGTCCACGTACTGTCCCAGAATCACCTGTGGCAACAACTGTGACTAAGCTTGCAGGACAATCCAGTCAACTGGGAGAATCTACTTCTAAAAGTTCATGTCTGACCTCACATGTGGTGAGAATTTCTGGCATTAAAAACTTACAAGTGGCCACCTGAGTGAGAACTAGATGGTGCCTGGTTACGACTACTGAGTGCTCTGTTTGGGGACACTAATAGATGGACTCTGAAAGAAAGGGAAAACATGAAGACCAGAGCCTCAAATTCTACATCCACAAAGGCTAGAGCGGTCCCCAAGACCACGGTTCCGAGCTTCTCATCAAGCCTTTGGTGGAGACCATCGTGTGAAGTCATTCACCTTTAAACTCACAACAGTTTCACTGAAAAAAACTGTCAACTTTGAGTATTGTGTTGTTTAAAAACTATTGTCTATATGAGACCAAAGGGACAATATAAAACTTAGATGAAAAAGTTAGGGGGAAGAGTCTAAGCCAATGGATATGAAACAATGAGAAGACAGATCAAGAGAATGCTGACATGAGATTATAACTAACGTCAACGACCGTGTTTAAAGACTGAACGGCAGAGTGAGTTTTGCTGTGTAGAATGTTGTTGTTGTTGTTGTTAAGTGCCGTCGAGTCGGTTCCGACCCATAGCGACCCTGTACAGGGTTTCCGAGGGTGTAAATCTTTACGGGAGTAGAAAGCCTCATCTTTCTCCCGCGGAGCGGCTGGTAGTTTTGAACCGCTGACCTTAAGGTTCGCAGCCCGATTCGTAACCACGCTACCAGAGAATACTTAGGAAAAAAAATTACAACTAAGGTTCCTAAGAAACCCAAGTCATATAATGACTAGGCCTAATTGTGTTTTATAGGTTTGGGGGTAAAAGAGAAACTTTTGTGAAGAATTGCCAATTCTGGAGAGACTGAAATTATAGACAATATGAAGTTTTTACTGGTTACTATATTCAATGTGCACTTCGTACAGCCAGTTTTCTCCATCAACCGCTGGTAAACAGTAAGGGATGATACGCTACTCAACTTTCTCACACTGGTTACACACTGAAATGTTTCTAACCAGGACAGACTTCCCTGTGATTCATTACCACTGGTTTCAGCATGCTTTTCTTCTGTGTCTCAACATTAGGCACTCTATCTCCTAGGGAGTAATCTGTTCTGTACGAAGTATTGTGTTCAAAGGGAAACGTCTCCCATATCCGTTGTAGTCACGGGTCTTGATCTGTTTATGTGGATGTTGTCTTGCCTAAAATGTATCCCGACTTACTGGCTGTCTCTTAAACGGAGCCTCAGCATTCCAGTTTCCCTCTAATACGGTACACTTCAGGGTACAGTTTGTAATTCTCTCCATTATCAATGCCTGGGATAACTCTTCTTCACAAAAGTCCTGCTTTAGTGGTAACGCCTTGGTCTCCTGCAAAGGTGTCAAATCTGAAAGAGAGTAAGAAAGCAGTATCTCCTTTATGACGCATTCTTGTTGGTTTGGCTTGTATGGAGTCTCACGACTACCCCATGTGACAGACACTGTCCTGTCCCACAGGGTTTCCTGGGTACCGTTTTCATGTAAGCAGATTTCTAGGTCTTTTCCCCACAGAGCTAGGAGGTGGATTTGAACTGCCAACCTTTTGGTTAGCAGTCCACTGTTTAACTGTTTTATTATGTATTAGTATTAAGGAAGTTTTCAAAATGTAACCAGATGAATTAAAACCCTCAGAAAATTACATGGTTTTGGAGTCTCTTTCAAATGGAAAGCAATAGTTGAGCAATCTTACATTCCTAAAATAAACCTCAGTAGTATATGCAGGGTTCACTCTTAAGGATCTGCTGGACTCCAGGCTTTTACACAAGTTAGAACCTACTGCCATGGAGTCATTCCCACTGACAGGCACCTGTGCAGGGCTTCCGAGGCTGGAAATCGTCACAGGAGCAGAAAGCCTCATCTTTCTCCCTTGGAGCAGCTAGTGGGTTTGAACTGTCAACCTTGCAGTTAGCAGTTCAGTGCATCTCAGGTATTAGCAGGAAAGAATCTGCGCATAGTTGGGGAAGAATATTTGCTTTCTAATATCTAGAAAGGGACGAGTACTGAAAGAGGCCTTGTAAGTGTGAAAAGGTTTGTGCTTAGTTACTAATCTAAAGGCTGAAGTGCACACTCAGCCAGTGGAGCTGCTGAAGACAGGTTTAGTGACCTGCTGCCAAGAAAAGCCTCCGGAGCACAGGTCCACCCTCTAACACACGGGGCCACGGATCAGACTCAATGGCAATAAATCGGTTTGTCTCGTATTCCATCAGGACTGAAATGGTTTCAAACCATATGAAGCAAACACTGTTTTAAATGAGAAGATCTGACGGCATGTTATTAAAATAACATGTGTCACTGTTATCATAAATGGAAAACATCAGACAATGAAAGAGTTGCTACGTGAGGGGCAGGTGCATACAATAGCATTTTCTACTTCAATTCCGTCCTAGTGGAGATTTGGTAGACAAATCTCCCCTACCCCTAACAATGGCTGAAACTCATTTTATCACCAGAACAAGCTGCTCTGACTCAGAGCTGAGAAACAGTCATTGAATCAAAGAGAATGAAGAGCGGAGGAAGCAGATCAAACTCGGTAAAAGGATTTGTAAACAACAGAGATTGTGCAAGTCTAAATGACAAGCAGGGACGAACTGGGACAGAGACGGAACCCAGGGCAGAGAAGGGAGGGCAGCCGAGCTGGAGAAGAGAGAGAAGGAGGTGGTGGTGGAGAAAATGGACCTTAGCCTTTCCCTTCCAGATCTAGAGGGTTCCAGAAGCCATCAGTGAAGGAAGACACCCAGTGTGTGAGATGGCTGAGCTGTGAGCTGGAGCGGCTGGGTCTCACCTGGGCCCTGGTCTCCTGTCGTCTCTCTCACCATCCAGGGTTCTTGTCCTTCTTCCAGTAAGAAGATCAAGTCGGGCTTAGAAACGCAAAGTCCTAGACGAAATTCAAAAGAAAGAAGAAACCTCGCAGTTGCGCAGACTGACTCGCTGTGACCCCGTGTGAGGGTCAGTGTCGGACAACGAACAAGCTTTGGCCCTGTGTCTGCTTTTGGAAAAGGAGCCCTGGCGGCGACATCGGGTAAGCACTGAACTGCGAGCCACAAGGTCCGCACTTCAAGCCCACTAGTCATTCTGCAGAAGCAAGACGAGGCTGTCTTCTCCTGTAAACGTTTTGGAAACCCTCCACAGGGTGGCTGTGAGTTGCAAGTGACTCGATGGTAGTTGGGTGTTTTCCTGGTTTGTATTCCCTAAAGGAGCCCTGGTACCACCGTGGCTACGTGCTCAGCAACGTGGACCCAGCAGCCACTCAGCAGGGAGAAGACTTAGCCACCTGCGGAACCTTAGGGGGCGGTATTGTTCATTTCTACAGGGTCACATGACTGCAATTAAGACTCCATGGCAAAGAGTTTGTCTTTTTGGTCTGTTTGCTAAGTTGCTGTGCTATCGAGGCCCCACACTTGGAGGGAGGAGAGTCTGATACAGTCAGCATGTCTTTGAGCAGATTACTCATAGCACTGCACCAAGGTCCACGCCATGCATTGCCACGTCCCAGAGACTAGGGGACCCTGCACCTATAATGGCCAACCGTCTCGGGGTCTTCCTGGGGAAAAACCTCCATGCATGACAGACAGAGTGGTAAGTCCAGTGGACAATGGAGGGCCGGCGCTGGGCGCTCTCCCAGATCTCACCTGATGCATCAGTTTGCTTCTATCCTTTCCAGTTATTGTTGTTGTTAAGTGCCGTCGAGTCAGTTCCAACCCAGAGCGACCCTGTATAGGGTTTCCAAGGAGCAGCTGGTGACCTTGAACCACCGACCTTGCAGTTCAAATGACTTTGCAGTCTGACGCATTAGCCCACAGCGCCACACCAGGACTCCGGTTATAATAAATGGGTCACTGTAAATACAGAAAAGGTGCCCTGGTGGTGCAGTGATAAGGCGCTGGGCTCTGTCCTCAGGGTCACTATGAGTCACTCGAGCACGTTAGGGAACCCACTGGGGGCACTGAGAGCCAGCACACAGGCTGGTGTCTGCTTGTCTGGCAGGGGCTGGAAGGACAGAGTCCCAGCCACTGGAGACCCAGCTCTGGGTGGCTAGGGTCAGAGAGACAGAGCACTCCATGTGGGTGGCTATGTCAGAACGACATGACAAAGTGGGACAGCAGGGACATATGAGATCACAGCATCTCAGAAACTACTGTCAAAGAGAAAACCTAACAACACACATTTTGTTTTAGTGCTTTCTGACCCAGGAGACCAAGTGTCCACTCACTGCTAAGGAGGGTCCTGACCAGGGCGGACACTGTCAGTGTCCCCTTCACCCAATGTTGCTTTTCTTCCCTGGCTGGCTGAAACGGACTTTCCCAAGACCTGGACAGAGACTCTCTCCATGAAAGGAGAGCAGGGTTTGGGATGGTGCTGCAGGGTCAGCACTGGACTGCGAACCCCAAGATCAGCAGTTCATGCTCACCAGCTGCTCATTGGAAACCCTGTACAGGGTCGTGAGGAGTCGGAACCACTCGACGGCACTTCACAGCAAGCCAACGCTTGATCCCCAGTGTCTCTCCCTTCTCTTCATCGTACCCAGCTTCTCCAAACCATTTGCTTTCTCTGAAATCAGTATGCTCTTATGCATATGGAACAACTGTTCAGAATAAACTTTATGTTCAAATTTCATTGAGTTCTGATTATAGCTATCTCTCAGAGATATTGTGGATTTGGTTCCAGACCACAGTAAAGTAAAATATCACAATAGGGCAAGTCACATGCAGTTGAATTTTTTTGTTTCCTAGAGCACGTAAAACTTACGTTTACACTACAGTGTAGGCGTCTGTGTAGCATTATAATAAAGTTTGAAATTTTGTGAGAATGACCAAATGTAACACAAAGTGAGAATGTCCTATAGGAAAAATGGTGCCAACTGTCTAGTTTGATGCAAGGTTGCTACAAACCTTCAATTTGTACAAAAACAACTATGCAGTATCTGTGAAGCACAACAGAATAAGGGACGCCTCGAGTTTCAACATTAGTTTTGAGTCAGCTAGAATTCAAAATGAGAAACACGTAGAAGGAAACAGGACATGCTCAGGTTATGTGGTGTGTCCAGACTGGACATGTGGTTCCCCCTGCTGGATGGAACGATGGGCAGTGCAGGTGTCAGGTAGGGAGAGCAGGCCTCCAATCACACTAGGTCTGGCCTCTCTCAGTGGGAAACAAGTCAACCTCAGCAGCGAGGGACTTCAGAAAGAGGGCTGGGGAGAGGAGACTGTTTGCAAAAGGAAATCATGTTAGCTACTAGGAGGCTGAAACCTGAAAGGCAAGACTCCGAGAAACTGTCTCTGGACCCATTCCCCGAATTGGCTCCTTGGGCACTGAGGGGAATACGGCCCACTCTCTGACAAAGGGAAACATGAAGAAGAAGCCAGGTGTGCTCAGGGCTCCACCTCCTCTCCTTTCCCCAGGTGGATGCCTAGCCTCACCTGTCTGTTAATAAGCCTTTCACCACCCTAAGCCTCTTGTCTCTGTAACTGCTTTTGCAAGGGCTAAGTGTTCTTCACAGGCCAGCACACCATTCCAGGGACGACCACTGAACCATGGCAGAGAGGGGAGGCGGGCAGGCCCCTTACCCAGGGAGAGCAGGCTTCTGTAATTCTCCAACATCACAGTCTGGTACAGGCTCCTCTGAGCCACGTTCAGCCATTCCCACTCCTCGTGGGAGAAATCCACCGCCACATCATCAAATGTCACTAAGCCCTGAAAAGACATAAACACAGTGGGAGTCACCCAGTGCTCCTGTGCCTACAGGGCTCAGGGACCGAGGGCTGCCTTGTCTTCACACACGAGCAAGAACCGGTGTGACACAAGCACTTCAAACATTCGCTACCAACGGTGACGCTGTACAGGGTTTGCAAGGAGCAGCTGGGGAGCTTGAACTGCTGACCTTGCAGGGGAGCTCTTGGCTTATAGCGCCACATCAGGACTGGTTACTAGGGAGGAGTAAAAGGGGAGCTTCTGCTTAGGGGGCAGTAAGTGTATGTTAACGATGCTGGAAGGATTTGGAAAAGACCAGCAAGAATGGGTGCGTGCCAAGCATTAACCAATTGGTTAGCAGCCAAGCATTCGACCACTGTGTCCATTTTTGTTGCTGTTACGTACCACACAGTTGGAGGTAACTCAGAACGACCCTGTATAGGGTCTCTTGGAGTCCTGGTGTGGCGTTGTGGGTTAATGCACCGGATTGCAAAGCTGGTTTGAACCACAAGGTCAGTGGCGCAAGATCAGCAACCACTCCCAGGAAACCCTATGCTGGGTCGCTACACACTGGAAGCAACTCGACAGTACCACTGCTTGCCTTTACCAAAATATTCCACCGCTGATGTAAAGTCAACTCTGGAACTAAATCCCCCCACACCCCTTCCCTCCCATCCTTGATAAAATGTTTGGTTTGTCTATGTCATGAATGGAATTACGTCCTACTAAAATATGTGCCAAAGTCCTGGTGTGGCGCCGTGGGTTAATGCGCCACACTGCAAAGTCTGCAGTTCAAGCCCACCAGCTGCTCCTTGGAAACTCTTATACAGGGTCGTTATGGGTTGGAACTGACTCAATGGCACTTAACAATAAAAACAAAATATGTGTCAACTTGGCTAGGTCACAATTCCCAGGATTGTGGAACTGTTCTCCATTCGGTGGCATGTTGTAAACCCTAACCTCTGCCTAGGGTTCAGGAGACAGGATTAAGAGATGTCAAAGAGGACTAGATTTGTGTATCCATCACCCTTTCTCAGTTCACCGAGTCCTGGTGTGGCGCTGTGGGAGAAACACTGGACTGCTAACCATAAAGATCGGGGGTTCAAACCCACCAGCCACTCCTTAGAAACCCTATATAGGGTCACTATGAGTTGGAACAGAATCAAGGGCACTGAACAACAACAACAACAACTTGTGAGAACAAATTTTTGTTTTCTTAAAACCATCCATCCACCTGCGGTATTTCTATTACAGTGTTGTTGTTAAGCACCTGCGTAGTGTTTCCAAGGAGCTCTGGGAGCACAGTGGTTACAAATACTGCTGCTAATCTCAAGGTCAGCAGTTGGAAATTCCCAGTTGTTCTGCAGGAGAAAAATGAGACTTTCTGCGCCCTTTCAAAGGAAACCCTATGCACGGTCGCTATGAGTAGGAACCGACTCCACGGCATACCACCACCACCAAGGGGCAGCTGGTGAGTTTGAACCACTGACCTGGTAGTTCACAGTCCAGTACTTATCCTACAGATAAGTAAGACATCAGTTTTTGTTTGCCGTCCCTCTGAGAAAAGTGGGGTCGGGAGGGACTCGATCATTCCAGTGAAGAACAGATACTGAATAGGATCAAAAAGAAGGTGCGAGGCCACAATGTGAGGAGATAAAAGGAACCAAATCCTGGGACAAGACTGTTAAAACTGAAGACTGGAAAAAACAAAAGCATCATGAAAGTCTGAAAAGCAAGCTTGCACTTCAGAGAGGAGATAGCAACTCACCTGGGGCATGGCTTTAGGGAGCTCACTTCCGGCCCTAGCTGCCTCCTGCTTGCAGAGCTTCTCTGGGTGAAGGACAGTATCCCTGAACGGCAGAGCTGGGGAAGGAGAAAAGACCAGCTAGAGACAGGACTCCAACACAATCCCAGCCTGCTGAGTCTTAAACCACAGCCGTAAATCAGACCTTGTGGCTCGCAGTCCTTATAAATCAGAAAGGGCTCTCACAGGACGAGAGTCAGGTGCTAAGGCACTCACTCACTGACAGAAAGAGACCATTTTCAAAGCAGCTGGGATGGGGTCCTGTCTCTACCCTATAAGGCTCCTATGAGTCAGAATCAAGTCTACTGCAATAGTGTTGCTGTTGTCTTTAACCTTATTGTTAAGTGCCATCAAGTGGATTTCAACTCATAGCGACCCTGTATAGAGTTTCTGAAGAGGGAACTTTTCCGATGAGCTTGAACCACCAACCTTGCATTTACCCACAGCGCCACACCAGAACTCCATTTTCAACCTAAGGGACATCTATAGGAGATTTTCTTTCTTTGAAGAGATTGGAAGTAGGGTGCTGTCTGGTTCATAGTGACAGACAGGTCCCTGGGGGGCACAAACTTTATGCTCCCCTAACTGATCAAAACCCCTCAGTTGAAATCAAATGGATAGCACAAAACAACAAATCTAAAGGTTGCTGGTTCGAACCCACCCAGTAGCACCAAGGAAAAAAGGCCTGGCCATTTACTTCCATAAAGACTTATTAATGTCAAGTCGATTCTGACTCAAGGCAACCCTGTATGATGAGGTAGAACTGTCCCATTGGTTTCCTAGGTTGGACTCTTTCATGGGCGCATTCCACCAGAAAACTCCTATGGGACAGTTCCCTGTAAACACAAGGGATCGCCGTGGGCAAGGGTCTTTCTGGTTGGAGGGGCCCTGAGTGAGCCAAGGTTCCTCCTCACACTCTGCTCCATGCTCCGGGTAAGCTCCCCGACGTTTGGATTCCAGACCCAGCAGCCTCAAAGACCAGAGAAAGTCCCCTCTGCTGGATGCTCTGGCTCAGAGAGCTTCCAAACCTTTAACTTCCCGTCCCACCAGCCTCGAAGTTCAGAGAAAGTCAAGGCTGAACTCCCCAACGTTTGGACTCGGATCCAGCAGCTTAGAAGCCCGAGGTCCTCCAGACTCCCCTCCCTCGCCCTACCTCTCCTCTCCGGCCCCGAGGCCACTGCCCTAGGCTGACACTTGGCTGCGGGGCCGTTCCTCAGGTTCAGCTTCCCTGGAGCACGCCTAGACGGCGCCGCTGACGTCCTCCTGGCCTTGGGGCCTCGGCCTGCCCTGGGCTTGGTACGGCGGCGGCCGCCTGCACCCGGGAGGGACTCGTGCTCACGAGCACGCACGCACCCGTTCCCACTCACTCTCCCCATGTCACACAGTCCCTGGCGGCGGGCGCACACGCGTCAGTAAGGCCAGGCGGCAGGCCACTAGCTCACCCACAGAAATCCTCCATCCAAGTCCCCGCCGGGCCCCGCCCCCTCCGCAGAACCCAATGGGACCACACCAACCTGGACGCCGCGCGTCCGCCGGAAGTGGGCGTGTCCGCACGCCGCAGTGTCCGCAGGGAAATGTAGTCTCAAACGGGAATACGGCAGCGCCGACGGGAGCTCAGCTAGCAAGGCGCGAGTCTGCTGCCGGCCTAAGTAGGGCCTCTCCGCCCCCGGTGTGTGTGTGTGGGGGACCTTCCACCCGGCTTTCAAGAACGAGCCGGAACCCAGCCGTAAGCATCTTGTTGTTAAGTGCCTTCAAGTAGGTTTTCATAGCGACGCTGTAGTAGGTTTCCTAGGAGTGGCTGGTGAACATGAATCGCCGCCCTTCAGTTCCTGGCGTTTTATCCCATGGCACCACAAACGCCGTCCTAAGAGGCTTCTGGGAGTCGGCATCGTGATTGGAGCGTGCAGGTAGTTACAGGGAGGGGCGGGGCCGCTGTACGTCGAGGGTTGGATAAATTGGCGTTTGAGGAGGGTAGGCACCTCGGTCACCTAGGCTAGCTTCCGGCGTGGTGTTATTTCCACCCTAGAACGGAAGGCGTGCAGAGGCCAAGCGATGGCGGGGGCGCGGCAACATTTAAGTCTTTTGATTGCCTTAGTAGGTGCCTGATTTGCCTCATACTATTTCTCCCCACTCTGATCTAATTTTTAAATACCTTATGATTTGGATGATAGTATATAAAGCAAATTAGTTTATAATTCTTCATACGTGTTTTGGGACATTGATTGCAATGCACACAATATAACATCACTCTTCACACTATCTCCCTGTTTCTGTTCATCGATCCTTTCTCTGCGTTCTGAGTTTCATTCATGAGCACATGCTGCCATTTTTATCTTGTTTGCTTGATTGTCCTAAAGGAGTATGTAGTTCACTTCATAGCATGTATATGGTTTGGCTGAAAGTTGAGCCTTGAGGATGATTTCAGTTCCGGGCGTGAAGGGTGTTCACCTCTTCTCTTCTGAACTTGACATCTTTGAACCCATAAGGTTGTGGGATTGGTTTTTGGTACTCCCCGCATCCCCCCATCCTTCCTCTACACAGACCTCCACCACCCTACTCTATCTAAGGAGTTCTGGTAGCATAGTGGTTACGAGTTGGGCTGCCATTATCAAGGTCAGCAGTTCGAAGCTACTAGTCACCCCGCAGGAGAAAGATGAGACTTTCTGTTCCAGTATAGATTTACAGCCTTGGAAACCCTATACAGGGTCACCATGAGTCAGAGGGACTCCATGGCACACAGCCACCTGTCCACCAAGATGCTGTACTTCTCATTCTGTTGCCTTTGAATTTCAATGTCCTGTGTGGAAAGCAGTCTTCCCTGCAAACTTTCCTCTAGCCTGGAATACCTGTTATCTTTTCAGAGAGGATTGCCCACCCTCCCAATAAAAAAATACCCCTTTAAAAAGCTCTGTTAGTGACCTCCAGCAGGATGGCTGAATAGGCAGGAATGTTACAAAGACCCTCTAAAAAAAAAATATGAGGGACCAAATGAAACAGATACAGCTGGTAATCCTGGAAAGGATGAAGTCGTAGATTGAACACTGACTAGAAGATGCTGAACAGGGCAGTGAGAGAGGAGACAGACAGGTGAATTGTTGGATGAACTGATTCAGCCTGGCTGTCTTGAACTTTCCCACACAGCATTCTATCAAGATGGCCTGGCAATGAGAAAGGTGCAATCCTCTTGTTCCCATGCTTTCCTGGGTATGAAAGGCATTAACAGCTTCAATCCTGCCCCACCCGCTGCAGGACCGTGCTGTTTTGAGTCAGGTGCTAGGTGCACTCCCCTGACTCTGGAGCATATGAACTCCACTTCTTCCGACCAACAGAAAGTCCAGTGTCAATTCACAGCCAGCCCTTGGACAAGTGGGAACTCTTATAACCAGCCGCCCTCTGGGCCTGAAAGACCCTGACCTCAGCCATGAACTACTTCCAGACTAGGTGTCCTGACCATAGACAACACCTAGGTCTACAGGAACTCCATCTAAAGCTGGCCACGCCAGTCTCTTTTCCATCCCACAGCATGAGCCTTGTATGGGTTGGTTGGACCATCAACGACCAACAACAGTCAACCCCACCTTGAAGTGCGCTACAGAAACAGCAAACAGAGCTGAGCACGCTTCCATCCTCTGTCACACCCAGCAGAGGGCAGGTGATGAGAGCCTCAGAACACACCAACATAAAATCATCAATACAAATACAATGTCTTGGAGACAACAATTTCAGTTCACATAAAGAAACATAACAGAGTGGCTCAAACACATGACCAGAATGCAGAGCCAGAAAATGTTTCTGAGGAAAAAAAAAAGGTATTGGAAGTATCTGATAAAGAATTCAAAACAATGATATTTAGGTACCTTCAACAGATTGGGAGAAAGTTTGAAAAAATTGCAGATAAAAGCAAGATAAATACAGAAAACAAAACAAAACAACAACAAAAAACTTAAACTTTAGAACAATTCAGGAAAACACTGCAAGAATGAATGAACAAAAATAAATGAAAAACCAGAAACCATACAAAAATTGCAAATAGAAATCCAGAAGAGTAATACTAAAAGTTCAAAAAGTGATAATACATTGAAAGGGCAAAAGAGTAGATTGTAATGAACAGGAGGCCAAACTAGTGAGCTTAAAGACAGATCTCTCAATAGTAGTCTGCGAGAATGATAATCAGAAAAAATAAGAAAAGAAAAATCCAAAATGAAAGCCTAAGATGTATGTGAGAAACCTCATAAAGAACACCTTATGTGTGAATGGAATTCCAAAACAAAGAGACAAAAAGTACAGAGACAACTGTCAAAAAGTTGTTCAAAGAAAACTTCCCTGACATCATGAAAGACAAGAAAACAGGCAGTCTAGAAGGTGAACGAACCCTAAACAAGATTGACTCCAAAAGAAAACCACCAAGTCATATAATCAGTTTTTCTAAAACCAAAGACAAAGAAAGACTCGTGAGCAGCAAAGGAAAAATGAAGAGTTACATATAAAGGAGAGCCAATAAGACTAAGCTTTGATAGCTCAGCAGAAACCATGTGAGCAAGAAGGCAATGGGATGACATATTAAAACTCTAAAAGAAAAAAATTGCCAACCATCATTCATATACCCGACAAAATTGGCTCCCAAATACGATGGTGAAGTTATGACATCTCCAGATAAACAAAATGAAAGAACTTTGTAAAAACCCGATCAACTTGATAAAAAATACTTAAGGGAGTTCTTTAGATAAAGAACCAACAATAGAAGACAACAAACAACTTCAGATTAACATACATGACAACACCACTCAGAATTCAACCCAGATATAGAAATATCCAAAGTAAAACAAACCTACAAGATGGAATATAGGGGACACCAGAGATACCAATTTATAAGGAAGACAATTACAAAACAAAAACAGGGAATAGTGTAGTTATGGAACGTCCAAATGGCAAGGAAGAGTCAATTTCAAGACAGAAGAGACTGTTTTAAACTTGGGAATAAATAAAATACATGGTAACTTTAGGATCAGCACTGGACCATGAACCACAAGGTCGGCAGTTCAAACCCATCAGCTGCTCCTCAGAAACCCTACATAGGGCTACGAGTCGGAACAGATTCGACAGCGCTTAACAACAACATGGTAACCTCAAAGAAAATAAACCTCATCAAAATAGAGAAAAAGGTTTTCACACTAAAAGAAACATACCTTGATGGTTACCAGTGGTGAGAGGGGAGAGGGAGGGTTAATTCACTGACTAGAGAGTTTGTTGTTGTTAGGTGCCATCGAGTCGGTACCAACTCATAGCAACCCTATGCACAACAGAACGAAGCACTGCCCGATCCTGGGCCAACCTCACTACTGTTGCCATGCTTGAGTCCACTGATGCTGCCACTTGGCCAATCCATCTTGTTGGGGGTCTTCCTCATTTTCTCTGACCCTCCACCTTACCAAACATGATATCCTTCTCCAGTGAATGGTCCCTCTTGACAATATGTCCGAAAAGATTTACAGCCTCGGAAACCCTGTACAGGGTCGCTATGAGTCGGAACTGACTCCATGGCACATAACACAACAACATGAGAGACGAAGTCTGGCCATCCTGGCCTTCCAAGGAGCACTCTGGCTGCATTTCTTCCAACACGGATCTGTTTGTTCTTTTGGCAGCCCATGGCACTTTCCATATTCTCCTCCAACACCATAACTCAAAAGCATCAATTCTTCTACGGTCTTCCTTATTCACTGTCCAGTTTTCGCATGCATATGAGGTTACTGAAAATACTGGTTATATAGGGACTAGTAAAACCCCAAGACTGGGGTGGCTTTTGGTCACCCTTCAGATATGGAACCCACCTTTTCTCTCCTACCCACCAGGAGACAGGGGTGAGGACCAAAGAGCACACCAACATAAAATCATCAGTTAAATATAAATACAACACCACCACAATGTCTGGATGACAACAATTTCAGTTCACGTGAAGACACGAGAGAGTGGCCCAAACAAGTGACGACAATGCAGAGCAAGAAAATGTTTCTGAAGAAGAAAGAATGATATTTAGGTGCCTTCAATGGATTTTCACCAGAAGAACTAGATGGTGCCTGGGCTTTATTGATTTATAAATAAATTTATTTCTATTTACATATAAATAAATAAAAACTGGGCTTACTGGTTAGCGAGAGACTGGCGGAACCGGAGACTGTGGCCCTTAACCACTCTTCAGGTCTGGAAGCACTTACCCTTGTGGTCCAGTTTTCGTGTTTCTTGGCTGTGATCTCGATAGAAACAGACCTCCAGGACTTTCTTTTGTGAGCCATTGGGTGAGTTACAACCGACCACCCTTCAGTTAGCAGCGGATTTCTTATTGATGTACCACCAGGGCTATCTTAGCTTTTACTGA